AGTCATCATCTTCATTCGTGGACTCATCTTGTTCGCTTTGCTGTCGGTTATAGTTGAAATGGATCGCAGCGTTCTCCGTGCGTCGTGGCGAAGTTATCTCGCTTCCTGGCTTGAAAGTAAAACGGTTCAACTCTTCGCTGTTATCGCGCGGTAATGGCGAAGCTGGTAGGCTGTACCTTTTAGTTTTGACGGCAGGTAGCTGGCCTAAGGAAACACCGCGGCGGGTTTCTACACAACTCAGAGAGGGTCTCCGAAGCAGATGTCTCGCTTGCGTCGATGATTCATCAGGACGTGGTCGATTCACTCGATCCGCCACATTTCTGTGTTGGAAAAACTGCATTTGGAATTTCTGGGGCAAGCTGTCCCGTCTTTTTATCATTTGCTTTTTGAAGGTGTCCTGTTTTCTCGACAATTGGTCCAGTGCCACCCTTTTCTCTTTGTCGAGCTGTTCCAGGACAAGCAACAGATCTTCGTCTTGTTTCGTGTTTCTGTCGATGGCTTTTTTCATGTCCGCGGATGGGAGGAGATAGCGTCGTAGTTGGTCCTTCATGGTGCTTTAGAAGAACAGAGAGGCTGTATTGAGCGCTGTTAACAGTGTGCAAGGTTGCGGCGAATGCAGCTCCAAAGCTGTCTGTGCTCGCTTTTGTATATTGAAACGTCCGTGCATGTGCATTGTTTACAAAGACAATAGCATATTTCTGATTACATTTTCCACTCTTCGTCGAAAACGAATACTCCAATACCACATACTTTATTGGTGAAACGGGACGAGTGCACTAAAATTCTGCCTAGAAATATATGATCAAAGTTACGTGCGAAATGTTGTAAGAGTTCTTATTTAAAAAGGACTAATTGAAATGAATCCCCGACGCCTATTGATTGAGTTGATTAGTGTTTGATTATTTTGCAATCACTAATCCGATTACTTACGTGCTATGAAGATCTAATAATGTCAGTTGCACAATTTTAATGCCGATGAACAACTTAACAATATATGATGTACAATATATGTCGTGTTTTCTGAGCACATTGGACGGATAATTAGTCCTATTAAATAGTACCAACTTTAAGAGAGATATAATTATCCACTTAAAAATAACATCAAATATTCACGATAAGTGTCACTTAGACAATGTGTGATCGATAGTATTATAAATACTGTGAATATAGTTTTATTGGCGAGGGTGAATGAGGGGCTTATAATGCAATCGATCTCTTGGTATTGGCAATCAGGTTTTAATTTTAGACGGGAAAATGTGTACATTCTGTTACTGAATTCGTCTGTTTGGCACAGAATTTATTGCGACCAATACCCGTACGTCGTTTTTAGTAAGCAAGTAAGTAAGTAAGTAAGTAAGTAAGTAAGTAAGTAAGTAAGTAAGTAAGTAAGTAAGTAAGTAAGTAAGTAAGTAAGTAAGTAAGTAAGTAAGTAAGTAAGTAAGTAAGTAAGTAAGTAATATCTTTATTTATAGAGGGTAGCACGTAATAGCCAGGCTAATGAATGTCCATATGCATGGAGATACATTGTTGAGATCTGGTGCCGGGTGTTGTGTAACAAGAAGTAGAAAGAACAACATAAGAATATTCTCACAGGTTCATCAGTGACACCATCCAGTTTGGAAAAACGGCACGTGTTATATTGATAAAAGTCATTCATTATCCAAGGTCAAAGACAAGAGGTCGCGGAGCCGACAGCAGTTATTCAAAACGGAAAGTTCCCAGGACAATACACTATTGGACATAAAAAGAAATACCGCGACTTCATTTATTTATTCCCGACTCTTATTATGTATACCCGCTATCCGTCGTCACCTCTTTGTCTTTTTCGTTTTCATGTCACCGTTACGTGGATTTACTTTTCCATTTTACCTTAAGCCGTAGCTTGGCTGATTTAGCCAGAGAGAACGTTCCTATTGTCATATTTTCCGCATTGAACATGTAAATCAGCCCTGTGCGTGGCTGTTCCATATTTTTCAAGAGAGTGAAACCTTCCCATACAAAACAAAGTACTTGTGCTTGGGTCAATCTTACTTAGGAAGAAACTAAACCATCTCCGAATATGATTGACCAATCTCTCTCTCCCAGTTTCCCACGGCCATTTTTTCTTCTCACCTTATTTGGCTTCTCGCTCGACGGACTCAGAGAAAGAGGACTCGGCTCGTAGTTTATAAACGCGCACACCCATTTGACTTTCTGCATGTGCCATTTGAACGTTAAAGTATTAGTCTCGATATTAGTCACGTTATTTACGCAATGTCGTTGGTTTTGAGGTACTAATTAAACTCTTTATGTCAAGTTACTGGGCCCGGTTGTTCAAAGGGTGGATTGGATAACGCTATCATTTACATTTTTTACATTTACCAGTGGATAAATGTTAACAAACAAAAACGCTATCCACTGGATAGTGATTTATCCGGTGGATAGCGCCAGATCCACGCTTTGAACAACCGGGCTCTGGTCGATTCATTACAATATCCTCTATCTAAAACAAATGATATGCTTGATTTAATTAATACGATTATTGGCTTGAAATTAGGCGGCATTTCTTTTGTCATTAAAATACAATAATATAATATACAATAAATATAATAAGCTGAGAACCAGGGGCTGAGAACTCATGGGACAGTAAGATATTGTTCACGAAATAGATATTTATATAACGTGAATAGAAATAGCACGACTGTCGGCTTGGTTTTGTTTTATCTCTTTATAACATGACATGAATTCGTGAAGTTATTCCATTCGCGTTATCACGTACGACTAAAGGGCGTGGTGGCCTGAGCACCAATAAGTTTTGACTGCATGAAGCTCTCACCGGCTATGGTTTGTCGTCTTTTCCAGAATAGCCTGCTAATACAGCCGCAATTAATGGTCCAATTTTAGATAACGCCACCACAATTTTCAAAATATATTTTAACGGCAAACAGATTTTTTGTTTAGTAACCTCGTTGGTTTCTGACAAGTTTTAGCCGCGACCAAGACGTCGGTAAAATAAGTAAGTATTTGCTTCAACAGATCTAGAAGTAATATAATCAGAAATACACTTTCAAATCGACAACCGTCGGCTCCCAGGTATTTTATTTTAACAAGAATTGATTTATAATTAATGTCCCTGGGAATGACAAGATGATGAATTGAATACATATGATTATTTGTATTCAGGGATTAACCACAAACAAGCGAGGATGAAGAAAAGAAAACGTTTTTAATATGCCGTTCAAGGTCTTCGCATGCAACATGCAACGAAATCAGCTAGCTCATGATGTTGTGTTAACGGTCTTTACCTTGATTGTCATTTGAATATGGTACGGATATGAAACAAATTAAGGGATAATAGCCTCTAAACAAATATAACCTGCAAGCAGGTCAGTTCACGTTCGTCGACTCGTTCTCGCGGCGCGCGCGTGTGTGGCCCCAAACGTGAGCAGGCTACAACTGATTAGGACAAAACGCTCATTTTACGACACGTCCAATTTTATTTCATAAAAGCTACAGCTATTACAAATTAACATACTGTACAATAAACGACAATTCCTATGCCACGCTTTGGTGGCGGCTGAAATAAGAATAAATAAGTTTCCCAAACAAACCAAAGTTCAAATCAAAAGGATAACCTCACAACCGTTTCTACCTCAGGAACACATGCCTCGATGGATGTCATTAAATTGTGCAATGTGATTCTTCTTCGTCGTAGGATTCGTGAATTGTCGGCGTCCACAGTAGTAGCAACTGCAGAAGCAGCAGTCGAATGCCTTCGAATGGCGTTTTGAGCTTTGCAATCTCGTGTTTTTGCGCAGGATGGATTAGATGCAATTTTGTGAGCTGGAAACGCTTCAAACTGATCGTCATTTGTGGCAGCTTCGTCCATTTCTTCTCGTGGGTGAGAGTTCTTGAAATTAATCGAAGTGCTCTTCGTCATGTTCGCTCGTCGATGTGTGGTTATGTCGCTAACTGTCTTGAAAACTGAGCAATGGCTTATTTCTTCGCTATAATCGTGTGGTATTGGTGAAGATGGAAGACTATGACCTTTATTTATCAATGGCGGTAACTCCACGATGGAAGAAGCGCGGGTTTCTTCGAAAGAAAACGCTCTCCGAAGCCCCTGCATTCTACATGGACGGTTCGTCTCAGGGCGTGGTTCATCTCTAGTACTCGTCACATTTCCGTGTTCAAAAAACTGAATATTAAATTTATTGCCCTGGTTTTTATGTTTCTTGATTATTTCTTTCTTGAACGCGTCCTGTCTTCTTGTCAGTTGCTCGAGTGCCACTTTCTTCTCCTTGTCGAGTTGATTGAGAAGAAGCGAAAGATCTTCGTCCTTTTTTGCGTTTCTGTCGATGGCTTTTTTCATGTCAGTTGTTGGTAGGAGAAAGCGCGGTGTTCGTTTGTCTTTCATGGCGGTTCGGGAGTTTATTTCCGAGAGGCAGACAGAAGTACGTTGATGTTGTAGTCTGCCAGCTCGAGGTAAAGTGCGGCTAGGAAGCTTGCGGTGCTCGCTTTTGTACTGACACGAATTGTTTTGCAAGGACAATCACATTGTGAAAAGCACAATTCATTGTTTGTACTTTGGAATTAAAAATACTTCAACCAATCAACGATGTACACTAATTAGAAAAAGCGTCATCAGGAAAAGTAGTGCCCTTAAATATATTTTGAGAGAGAAATTTCCAGTAACAATTTAAACAAAGATGCAAAATTGATTCGCTAGTGTTCAATGAGGACTCTTGTCAGCTTAAATGAAACCTCTGGCGTTTTGGACATTTCTATTCTTTCGCAATCCTAATCTATATGATTACGTTAGCTGTAACTTGTAATATTTTAATTGGTAAGTATAAACAATAATGCTGAGCCCCAAAGACTACAGAAAACAACAAAAACAATTTTATATTGTTCATAAGCACAAAACTTGCACCGGTAATTGCTCTTCTAATAGATTTCTAATTTTGAAAAGTATCATTATACACTTGAACCTGGTTATATGGCCTAAGCTCCCACGAGTCTGCCTTGCCGAGCTCAGTGGTAGAGCGTCCGACCAGTGGGCGGAAGGTCATAGGTTCTGACTCCTGTTGGGGGAACTCGAAATTTTTTTCCGAGTAGCTTGTGTCACTGACAGAATAATACCTTTCTCATATAAGTATCCACTGTTTAATAGAAATAAAGCTATACACGATTATGCACGTTTTAATGCAGTGTGTTTTGGGGTATTAAAGTCTTCCGTATTCCTTTGTCCTTTTCATTACTGATATGTCTTTTTAATTAACAAATGACTTTTAGCTTGTAGTTACATCTTTCCTTTGTTTAAAACACAATAATTCTACAAGCCGAGAAAAGAGGGCAAACTCGTTCATCAATACTCAGTACACACATACAACATGAACTTCATATAAATGATACCGAAGGCTTTATTTCGTCAAGACAATGCTTAGAAACTTATTTTGAAGTCTTCTTTATCATGCCACCAGACGGCTTGAGTTTCAGGTATTTCACAACATTAAGGACAGTATTGTGTTTTTCATGTCGTTAAAAACAATAATAACAATAATTAATGAAAATTTTGATTTTTGACGTGACCAGTGTTGATTATGTTTACTGATGTACGCAAACATTATATTTGACTTTGAAACTCCGGGGCTTCAGTTTGAAATGTAAATCATAGCCAGAAATTCCGAACGCGCGTGAGCATTTAACCGTGACGGTCCGTGACCGTTAAAAAGAAAATGGCGGCTCCAAACTTACAGAGATTCGTATGAAGTCGAAACAAAAACATGATATATCTAAACCGTGGCGTAAAAAGGACATCTATCCCCAGATACGATTGGGAGATACGACTTAAGTCATCTCCTGTGAGGTTTCAAAACGGTGATATATCGAATATTCATTGCGGTGTTTAAGAAAGTAGTTTAAGGACTAACACGATAAGACAGGCCATACAATTGCTTACCTCTGAGGTGACAACAAGCTAAATTCACTCCATGCGAACTCTCTCCATGCCTTTCTAGATGTAGCTATCCTCTCATCCCCAGACAGTTTTTGAAGTTCGAAGGTGTCTTCGTATTTCCATGATATTATAAGGCTTTGTAGCCGTTGAAATCTTGCGGTTTACGGCAGTATTTGTCGAGGAAAAATTGAAGCTAAAGGACGCCATTATTGAACGAAATCGGTTTGCTCCAGCGCGCCTCATAGCAAAAAGACCAAAACAAAATCAACATACGAAAACAGCCGCCATTTTCCAAAACATGAATGAAAAGGAGAAGAGACTGGGGTTCACAGAAAGGCTTGGTAGCTTAGCTTGTTTTGTCATTTAATTTATGCAAAAGGCAGTCGAAGGCAGTCACGATTGAGTCACGAAGTAAAAACATTTGCTCAATTTAACAGAATAAAGCATGTCTGCTGGTAAAATTGATCGTGAAAGCGAGCTTAAGTTCTCTTGAATACGGTGACTTTCGTTTCACATTGGATTTTTGTCGATTGCTTTCTTTTGTGGACCACAGAAAGCAAGAATATGTCTCTCATCAGGAATCCCGCGTGACAACAACTTGATCTGGAAAACGTGGCGCGACGTAACTGACCAATCGTGTGTCTTCCACGCGTGACTGGGCACGGAGTAACGCAAGCTTAATTTGGTTCGAAATTTCTGGCTATGTGCTACAAATCTTGGTGGTTTTGTTTCAACACATGTCCCATCAATGCCGGTTCCATTACATTTTGCACTGTGACTCTTCTTTGAAGAAGACGTGAACTGTCCAGGCTAGCAACTGCAAAAGCTGAATGCCTTCGAATACCAGATTGAGCCGTCTTATCTGCAGGTGATTTGTTGTAGGGTTTATTAGCTACCGTTTGGCGAGCTGGAAACATTTCGACATGATTGTCATCATGTATGGCTGTTTCATCTTCTTGCTGTTGCTTAATGTTCTTGGAACTGTTCGAAGCATTTTCCAGGCTTAGAGGCGAAGCTATTTCTCTGCTTGTCTTGAAATTAAGGTGGCTCTCTTCAATTCGCTTCTATCGTGCAGTAATGGTGAAACTGGAAGGCTGTATGTTTTACTTATAACGGTAGGTAGCTTGCTGATGGAAGAACCGCGGGTTTCTACACAAGAAGAGGCTCTCCGAAGTCCGATCCAACGGTTCAATTCATCAGGGCGTGATCGATCTCTATCACTCACATTTTCGAGTTCGAAAAATTGGAGTTTGAATTTCTGAGACAGGCTGGCCTGTTTCTTAATCACTTGCTTCTTGAAGGCGTCCTGTTTCTTCGTTAATTGCTCAAGTGCCATCTTCTTCTCTTTTTCGAGCTGTTTGAGAAGATGTGAAAGGTCTTTGTCTTGTTTTGAGTTTCTGTCGATGGCTTTTTTCATGTCTGCCGTTGGGAGGAGAAAGCGCGGTAGTTGGTCCTTCATGGTGGTTGTGGGAGACAGAGAGTGGGTATTGATGCTGTTAACAGTGCGGTGCGGTAAAATGCAGCTCCAAAGCTTTCTGTGCCCGCTTTTGTACTAATTCCATAAAACGTAAACACGAATTGTTTGCAAGGACAATCGCATTATAGCACAATTCATTTTCTTGTACTTTTAATTTATATTAAAAATAGATCAACCGATGACGTACTAGCTTTGTTGGTAAAATTGAAGATCATGCAAAAGCCTGCCCTAAAATGGTGACAGCCTTAGCCAGTACCTATGACACAAAAAATTGAAGATAAAAAATTGTTAATATGTGCCATTGGTGCCATTGTAAGGGATCTTGTCAAAAGGGATGTACTAAACGCAACCTCTGTCGTTATTTACGTTTCTATTCTTTCGCAATACTAATCTCATAATGACCACGGTAGCTAAATTGTCATAATGTTGTAGCACGGTACTGAGAGGAACCAAACATGTTGAAATATACCTCTCAAAAGCAGACATCATTCAGCTAGCCTGCAACTTAAAACGCGGTAAAAGTCACTATGATGAAATACCCTGCAGTTTGCGTCATTTTTTAACACTTTTGTCTTTTAGTATTTATTCTTACGCATTTTCACGCCATTGTTCTATCCATGCTCACAGTCACGTTTTCTCGCGCCTTGAACTCTGATCGAAATAAATAGGAAACTTCGACGTGACCGTCTTACGCAAAACTCACTTCAGAGCGGCTTTTTGGCTAAAACATATTACCATCAAAATGCAACTCAGCATACAGTCGCGTTTAACTTCGTAGTTTAATTTGCATGCCTATCCGACCCTCCACTAAACTTCACAGAAAAGCTTGACGCATAGGGAAAAAGGCTAAATGAGAACTTTATTGTTATAGCTAAAATTCACGTGCACTTCACTGCATTGCTCATTTTTGTAACTAAACTTCAAAGGTTTTATTCGATTCTGCCGGACAAATCTTTCTTTATTTTACTTTGAAGCCGCTTAGATTGAATAGAGCTGAAGTCAGCCAAAGGCCTGTAAACTTTGCACTTGCTATACAAGATTGAACAGTTGACAAAAGATCGATAGCCATATAATTGAAATACAGTCGAACCCCGATTAAGCGGCCACCCTCGGGGAAATGGCAAGTGGCTGCTTAATAGGGGTTGGCCGCTTAATCGGGGTTTTATTTACAGTATTATCAGTACTGATATTGGGACTTTGATAGCTGGCAGCTTAATCGGGGTTGGCCGCTTAATAGGTGGCCGCTTAATCGGGGTTCGACTGTATTGCTTTAATGAAGTAATTATTACTTTTCTTTCGACAACAATACAATTCAATTCAATTCAATTCCTCAGCCTAAAAGTCGAATAAATTAAAGAGACCGAACAATTATTTAGAAGTAAAGTTGTCGGGTTAGTGAGCACAGAACTGAGTACATGCAAAGTTTAAATATAATGGTTAACTTTATCTATCGGACTCTGCAAGATGGCCGCTTCCGTCCACAACGCCATCTTTGTGCCTGCCGCATTCAATAAATAATGGAATAAATTAGCACCTTCAAGGGGGTCAAAATACGTCTCTTAAATAAAAAGTCAGACTAACTTCACAACGTCTTCATTCACATTTGGAATCTAAGCGTGTAACAAGTATGCCACCATCCGACAAGAAAACCAGACTCCTTCCCAGCCTCAAACTCAGCCAGAATATCAGAAAGGCAATAGAGAAGAATATTGGGTACGAAGAAGAATTGATAAGAACGCTACAAGATGTGGATATAAAGAAACGAATTGCGCTCAACGAAATCACTTTGAAGAAGGATGCTTTCTTGAGACAGCAAAGGCGACGGCGAGAGAGTTTGCCAGCCGTGTTGACACGAAACAGTTTGAACCAGCCTTTGGTGATTTCTAGAAGCTGGGCTAGAGACGATTTGGAGTGTTCAACGAAGCCTGCATCGATGTTCCCCTCCTATAGTAAGACTATAACTCGCAGAACAGGACAATTACCAAGTTTACCCGGTGTTAAAATTGAAAGTGGTGTAGGAAGCGACAAAAATTCGTGCGCACTTTCGGACAGCCAAGCCGGGATAAAGAGCGCCCAGGAGCAGTCAAGCGAATCTGACTCGTTACAACTCGTTAGTGAAAGAAAGACCGCGACTAACAGTGTGCTGAAAGTACAATCGTGGCCACCTAGCCCAAGCGTTCACCTTGGAAAATCGATTCTAAAGAGAGGGACGTCCGTGACTGATGTTACGGGTCAAGCAAACAACGAGGCCGCGGAGTCCGCCGCAGGACAACCAACGTGGTTAAGACGTCAAACGCTTCATCACATTTTCCACAGCACAACCAGCATTCCGCGAGCGAGTGAAACTCAAACAAACCCCAGTATTTCTGACCCTTGTCTGATGCAAACAAGCAAAGAAGTTAGTGCTAAAGACTCAACACAATCCAGATATAGAAAGGTCCTCAACAGAAGGCGATCTTTGCAAGTTGGGGCCTACTATCAATCTACTTGCTCCATGGAAAGAATGGGAAGAAATCGAGCAGGCCAACCGAACTCAAAGAGTTTGGAGGATTGCCACGTGCTAAACACTACCAACAAAACTCAGCGTTGTAGACGAGTTTCATTTCAAGATTCCTGGACATAATTGTCGGATTTAATTATCACTAACCAGAATCAATTTA